ATTGTGGTATAGTTTGCAAAATCTACCAAGCTCTACAAGGATGAATATTGTAATATTGCTAAAATATGCACTTTTAGAAAGCATTCTAGACATTGTTTTCTTCTTAGGCAAATGTTTTAGGGTTAAATACATTTTTTTTAATGAATGGATTCAAAACTAACTGTAAGAAAATTTGTAAGGACATTATGGGAATGTAAATATTAACTGCTTGGAATTTAGACTTGTATATCTAGACATAATTTAAGTTTTGTATTGTATTAAAATGCAATTTTATTCTCCTTAAATATTTGTCAATATCAATTTCTTATCAAAAATTAGTTTTTAGATAAAATAAACATAAACTTAATACTCATGGGACTTGTGGAAAAAGATGCTGTTCTTAATAGACAAATGACTTTGCATCAGCCAAACAGCAGATCAAATGCACATTGAAAACCTATATAATTATCTAATATATTTTCATTTAAATTATTTTACCTAGAAAATTGTATCACATTAATACCATTGTTCTATCACCTGTGATAAAAAATAGCAGTACTTCAGAATCTCTTATCAATCTGTATGGCTAAAAGTCTATAGAGATCCTCAATCATCCAGGACATGGTTGTCCCAAATGTCCTTTTTCAGGAGGCAACTGGACTTTCTTGTTTTTAATTTTGAAGATGTTTCGCTTCTCATCCAAGAAGCTTCTTCAGTTCTGATAGGAAAATCCTTCCATTCTCCACTATCCTATCAGAGCTGAAGAAGTTTCTTGGATGAGAAGTGAAATGTCTTCAAAAGAAAAAACAAGAAAGTGCAGTTGCTTCCTGAAAAAGTACCTTTGGAACATCTGTATGGCTATTAAAAGCTAAAGAAAAAAATCAAGCAAAGGAGAACTATCTAGAAATACTGATACCTTTCTTGGCTAAGGAACTACATAAGGAATAGATTTGTATGTCCCTGAATCCCCCAGCTGAATGCTCACTTCTAGAAATGAGGACCATATCATATGTGTGATTTATGAAACTGAATTTGAAACCATATGGGTTGTGCTGAATACATGGATAACTAGAGAAAGCATGCAGGTGTGTCCTTCCAGATGTGAAAATGGGTGGAGCTAATTCCTATCCATATTAATATTTTAATCTCATACTATTTATGTTGTAGTTTAACAGCTGTGATTAATATGTGTGAACATAACATATGTTTGTAGGGTGTGCTGTCCAGACAGTATATAGGTAATTGGGAATTGAGATAGTTAAGTTAGAATTTGGAGCTGTCCCCTTAAGAGAATGCCTCATGGTAAATGTAGTTAATGCATCATGGGTAATGTAGTTCATGTTATGTGGTCACATCTGTAATCCTGATTGGTCATTGAATTGACCCTTGGTTGGGTTGGGGGAGTTTCCTTTACTCTTGCTTGGACCCCAGCACCGTGCTGGTGTCTCACCCCTTGTTCCATCGTTATGGGATGAAGATCACTATAATTTTACACTATGAAGTCAGCTGTGCAAAGAATTGGACATTAGATGAATCTTGACATAACCGTGAGTTATATTTGTGGATGCCTTGTGAACTAATAAAGAAACTTTGTATGGAAGTCTTTGTAGAGTTTAATCTGACTTTCTTTATATTCAGCCAGCGATTAAAAGACAGAACATAGGGCCCACATGCTATTTTATGTATTGTGATTAGAGCATTTGTATTTCACTTTTGGAGTACATTCCCAGAATAGCTAACAATAACTTTTGAAGACCAAACTAAAATACTACCAGTAGCATCAGTACTGTAAAATAAATAATTTAAAACAGCATATGAGAAGAAAACAGAGCCAAAAAAGTATACTACTAGTTAGTTTCAAGATATCTGGAAAAATAAAAATAATAACCAATCACAATTTAGTAGACCTCAAATAATATTGGCTTTAATAGTTTTATTGAGTTTAATAAAAGAAAACATGTTTCGTTCGGGACTGAATTGTGGGGCTCTTGGTGCTCTGAGCTTGGTTGCTCATTTGCAGATGTTTCATTACCCAACTAGATAACATCATCAGTGCAAGCAGTTGGGTAATGAAACACCTGCAAGCAAACAACCATGGTCTGAGACTACCAAGAACTCTACATTAGCTTTGCTCGTACATTACATTAAGCACAAAATTAAAGAAAATACTAAAACTTTTTTTTAAGGAAATATTTTTTCCGGACTTAATAATTACATAAATATATCATTGTATATCAGACCTGCATATGACACAGTATCTAAAATGTTAGGAAATGGATTAAAACACAGCAAGTGACTTTTAATTGGCATAGGAGACTCTTCGCATAGAACATGAGTAAATGTTATGAGCTAAAAATAAGCTTCCAGACATAATTCACGTTTCTAGTTTTAATGTTTAAAGCCTTAATGGACAAGGTATGTATACACTTATACTTATTATCTTGTAAACAATTGACAAATAAAATAAAATAAATAAAAAAGGTCCAGTATTTTATGAGCTCCAAATTTATCTTGCTTATTGAGACAGGATTATCTTTTGAATATTAATTTCCTGTGGACTAACTTTAACAAAAGCTAATGGAAACCTTCTCCTTGACAGAAGATTATAATTTGGAGCCACTAGTGACCTTTAAGAAATTGCTTTGTTTTGGGGAACAGTTTTTAAATCTTTGTTAAGTGTTGGATTTCATGACATTATGAAGTTAATTGCCAAAAGGTCTGAAGTGCAGTCTAATGCTCAAGAGCCAGCTGAAAAACTATATAGAATGGGTAGAAACCCCACTATCAGGCAAAACATAAATTATTATGGAGCCCACAGAATGTCTCTGATATGCTAGAAAAACATTCCACTGTCAGTAAAAGGGTTACAAAGTGAAGGAACTGTGGATAGGATGGGAGTGGGGATAACAAAGGGAAGAAGCATGCTGATCCTATATCCTGTATTCTTCTAAAGCACTATGCATCAGCTCTGGATGCAGGGGGAAAACATGATATTGCTATTAACTTCAACAGGATTTTGGGGTTAAAAAAGTATAACTTCCACATTAATAATATTGCCTCAGCTGAATGTAAAGTAAGTTTTATCAAATACTAAGACATCACTATCTCTATCTAAACATCAAACGTAATTCCTTTGCAGATGTTTGCAATAAATTGTTTTGCACAGTCAGAATGAATCTGTAATGTTCTGAAGAGGTGCTCAGTTAGAGAGCTCTACTGCAAGCTAAATCATGTCCTGTAAAGGTCTAATGGTTTCTTCTTTGTTCACATCTCCCGATTCATTTAGCTGTACTTTATATCAGGGCTGGAAGCATCATGTGCTGGCCACAATCACGCCCGGTTTAGTGAAAGGAAAAAAAGTGCAGATACATCACACGATGCCGCCATAACGACATGAGTTTGAACCCCTGCTGTATATCATAACAAAGATAGGATATGGGGCACCAGGCTCTGGCCTCTCACATGCCTTTACTGTTCTCAAAATGAAATTCCATTGGTGGGAACCATGAGATGCTTTGCAATCAAAGGGAGCACTTTTCACAAAGCATCTTCTCTCCAAAACATGTCTCACAGTTTCAGCATTCAAGTAGTTCTCGTTTAGCTATTACAATTGTGACTGACAACTTGGTCATTAAGCAAAGCAGTCACTAAATGAAAATGTTCTTATGATCTTACCTAACTTAAACTGCAAAAGTTGTAAATGCGAGGATTGGTCATAAAGCTACTTTTTCATCACCATCATAACTGTGAACAGTCACTAAACAAGGCAGTCGCCAAACTAGGACTTCCTGTATTGCTCATGCTTCTCTTTCTAAAATAGAAATTGGAAAAGTGCAATCCAGTGTAAAATACTGCACCTGGGAATAAGGCCTGTTGCACCCAACAGAAGCTTTTCAAGTATTTAGCATTGGATTGTACTCTCAGTGACTTTATGTGATGAAGTGATAGAAATCTATAAGAATGAAACTTTTATGAATTATTAAGTGTGAAAGCAGTCCAAATTTATTTAAAACGTTTTTATACTGTTCATCATGCCAAATTTGAGAGGAAGGTACAATATAAAATACTAAAATAGGAAAGAGAGTCAATAAAACTTAGCAGACTACAATAAACCCTTCAGGTACTAGCAGAATTTCCAATGGAAATAATTCACAGGACAATATGTCTCTTCATTGTGGAGAGCATACACCAATTGATTAAAGGATTGAAATAGGAAAAAAAATAAGTATTTAGACATTAAGTAATAAGCTACTGGAAGCAATGTCAATGATTCTTATGTAAATGACATGCCTAAGTTTTACAGGAAGAATTTAAGAATGGGAAATAATTGTTTTCCTATGCGTGGAAAAAAAATAGAATTGTACATTTGTGCTACTAGAGACCTTAGCAAGACAATGACATTCATGCAAGCTCAATCGTTTACAATTAGATCTCCCCGTTTTTGGGGTGGGACACAAGAATATAATAAAATTAAATACGCGTCCCTCAACCCCTGTCAGGCAACACAAACAGCCCTTTTTAATATGAAAGGGAAGAAAGGCATCTTCCCATCCACCAAGCTGTGCTCGCAAGGATTACTTTGATTTTGCAAACAGCGTCGTAAATGTGCCCGCATCCCTTCAAACTTAATATCCATTTACTCGCATGAAAGGAAAGAAAACAAGGCCCTTCCCTCCCCCACCCCCACCCCTCCCCCACCTTACTGCATTGGCCAAGCTCTGCGCTCCCTCCCCCCACAGCACTAAAATGCTTCGGACCGACGTTCCCTTCGCAGACCCCTTACTTACATCCTTAGCCGCCGCAGCCGAGCGAGCGAGCGAGCGAGGCGCGTCCTGCCTTCCTCCGGAGAGCAAAAAAAGACGCCGGGCGCCTGGGCCGTCCGCCCCTTCGGAGGGAGGCGGAGCCGGCGGCAAGGGGAGCCCCGCCCCTCAGCGGCTTCAGCCTAGGAGCCGAAGCGCGCGCAAGAGGCGAGCCCGCCCGCCGTCGCCTCGGGGCGCCTCCCTCTTCTTTTGCCGACTTTGACAGGAGTTCCGACGGGGCTTTTTTTTTCGCCGCAGGTCCGCGGAGGAGGGAGCAGCCGCTCGCGCCGCCAACTCCAGCCGGGGCTCCCCTCGCCCGGATAACTCCCCCGCCCACGCGCCAGAGAGGCAAGGAAGCCGAGCTCGACCCGGCGGCGACCAGCTCTCCACGGAGCATGTCGGAATCCAGAGCCCAGAGCGCGGCGGCGGACAAGGAGTCCTCCAACCTGGTGGTAGGGCTCCTTTCGCTGGCCCTTTTCTCCCGCCTCTTGGCCTTTCTTTCTGTCTCTGACTGTCCCTCAACTTTCTGACGCCCTTTCCTAATTCTCCCTCTCCCCCCTCCCCGCCCTCCCCACCCTTGGCTTTCCCTCCTGGCTGACCTGAAATCCCTGCCCATGTTTCTCTCCCACCCCCTTGCCTCTTTTTTTTTTTTTTTTTGCTTTCCTTGCCAGGCCCAGCTGTTTGGGGGGCTACGGTGGGGTCGCCTGGAGGAGCCCCTGGGATTCATTAAGGTGCTGGAGTGGGTAAGTTTGCTCTTTTCGGTGTGCAACTTTTCTGCTTTTGCCTTCTCCCCCCACCCTCCCCCCCACCCCAACCTGGTCCCCAACCTGGAAGGGAAGGATGACAATGCGCTAAAACTGTTGCCTTGGTGAAGTTTCATCAAGGAAAGGGGCCACACGAGGCTGGGAAATTGGACCTGGGTTGTGTGCAGGAGCCGGTGGAGGTGGAGGGGAGTGCCTCCTCGGGCAGTCCATCTATGTGCAAAGGAGTCTGGATTTGTGGACTTGGGGTATGTATGGGAACAGTGGCGAGCTGCGCTCACATTTCACTCAGGCGGGCTTAACCTTTTTGGAGCTCTGATTCTGCACATACCACGCCTTAACTTGTCCCTGAGCTCACAAATTCTCTCTCTTCTCAGCCTTCCCAAGAGGAGATTAGAAGCTCTGGGTTTATTTAGTCCACAGCACAGACCCAGTGCCAGGAGGCTCCACTCCAACGCTGTATTTTTGTGTGTCTCTTTCCAAGGGAGAGGAGCATTTCAATTTCAATTTGATCCCTAGGGACATTTTCAGATTTCTACCCATTTTAATGCAAAAGTTAGGGGATGGGAGAGAGAGAAACAGAATAAGCCTTAAAGGACCCAAATCGACTTTCTGTTTCTTAAAAAGAAAAAAAAAGAAAACCCACTTCCTTTTTTTTTTTTTTTACAAAATTCTGTTTTATGTTATAAACATCCGTATATAGCACTGTTATTGAATAACATGCTGTACCACCATTTTTTTTCTATCTTTAGACAATAGTGGTATTACTTAAACATGAAGAATACATTTTGTCAAAATCATGTAGTTAATGATTCCAACACAAAGGGTGTCCAATACAGGTTCAGACTCTGAAAAGAACCAGGGAGGAACTGAGTGATAAGGGGGGAAAAACCTGAACTAACAGCATTCTGTCTAAGTGTGCAGCAGATTTGGATGAGTTTAAACTTCTATGAAAACACATCTCACGTACTTTAAAGATAATGCAAGTGGGTCCCCTGGTAAATGGCAAGGACTTGTCTTTGCATGATGCATGGCTTGAGGACAGCAATATGAATTGCTATATGAAGATTCTGGTTGTGGCAATTTTGTGCATTGAGTGACTGCTTAAAGCACTGGATCATGAGAATAATGTTGCTCTAAAGTCTTATGACGAATGGCACAAGTAGCCTTCCATTATACTTCAAGACATTAGGTTATGCAATATAAGTAGTAGTTTGTGTCATCTTTTATTGTTTTAAATATGTGCATAGGGTTCTTTCACAGTCTGCAATTGACCCTTCATATTTTTTTATTATGCTGTGTAATTGCCTGACAAGGTCTTAAGCATTTTCACTTCTCTTTACAATTTTAGCATTGTGATAAGACATTATATCAATCATGTCAAGAAGCTTCCCTTTTAGAATGTAGGCTAAAATTAGCATGGTTAAAAAAGCAAGAAAGTTCTAATGACAAAGCTCCTTAGTAAAAGTCATAGTCACTGTATCTTGAAAGGATTCTTTTGTCCTGCCAGATCTATCCATTTCATTCAATGATAATGTCTTAGCTTGGGAAGTGTTAACTACTGAAGAGCCCAAACCAGATTTTTCATGTTTTCTTGCCTTGAGTACACAGAGATATTTTTCATGACATGTGGCTACACACACAGCCTGCAGTGGTACGGATAGTATTTTCTGAATACAGAATTTTCTATATATCCGTGGTAGTCAACCTGGTCCCTACCGCCCACTAGTGGGCATTCCAGCTTTCATGGTGGGCGGTAGGGGTTTTGTCCCCTACTTTATAAATCACCATTACTGTGGAACCGGTGGGCGATTAGAGAAAACTTTACTACTAACAGAGATACAAAAGTGGGCGGTAGGTATAAAAAGGTTGACTACCCCTGCTATATATGTAGAAGCTTTTTTTCAATTATATGTTTCACATCTAGCAAAATACTTGAGAACCATGCTAGTTCTTTTTTTTTCTATACAGATAGAAAATATAGAGTTGGCTCTAAATTCATAGAAGTCAGCACTTAAACAGTTGCTTTGGGATAAGTCAGTCCTGCTCAGAGTTTGAGCCTGATTCTTCCCCTGATGCAAAAGTAGGGTTGAGAACCCTAGTGCTGTCATCAGCTGTTATGCAAAACCTGGAATTGCAAATAGTAATGACAGATTTCATGGAGTACTGGAGCTCATGAAAGGAAAGTCAGTATTGGCTGCCAGTAAACATGTCTGGATAAAGTTTATTAAATCAAGACACAGGTGGTCCTTCACTTACAACAGTTCATTTAGTGACCATTCAAAGTTACAACGGAAAAGTGACTTATGACCATTTGTCACACTCATGACCATTGATGCTGCATCCCCATCGTCATGTGGTCAACATCCAGACACTTGGCAATTGATTTGTATTTATGATGGTTAAAGTGTCCTGGGGGGGTCATGTGATCACATTTTGCAATCTCCTCCAAGCAAAACCAGTGGGGAAGCCAGATTCACTTACTAACTGGGTTACTAACTTAACAACTGCAGTGATTCACTTAACAACTGTGGCAAGAAAGGTCATAAAGTGGGGCAAAACCCACTTAACAAATGTCTCATTTAGCAACAGAAATTTTGGGCTCAATTGTGGTTGTAAATCAAGGACTACCTGTACCTGCTTTATTAGGATAGGGGGGAAAATGAGAGTCTGACAGATACAGTCGCCTTTTTCTGAGCTGTTTATATTATAATTTTGTTGCAACTGTTACTTTTAGTTCCATCTAAATGCTACACATCATGACAAAACCTTTCTTTTACTCCTTTCTTTTACCCTCTTTCTTGTATCACTCACATTTCTCTGCACTTACATAGACACAACTAATTCTGAAGTTCTTCAGTCATAGTGGTATTTAAGCAGCACATCTGCTAGCTTTCATCGGTTTTCCTAGCTGAGCTTATGGAAACCCATAGGGAGTACAGTGCAGCCTTCATTATAATAGCTGAATAGTTGGATTTTGGTTGGTCCTGTTTTGGCTGGATGTTAGTCTCAGGCTCAGCCAAGGGGGTCTTTCAAACCAGGGACCAGTGTCTGATTTAGGCTCTTTTGTTGTTGCTTTGTTGTTCAAAGTTGAACCCAGCCAGGATGTCTTACCAGGTCTTGCATGGCCCATATTGCTATATATGCATATGTGTAAGCGAGTTGAGGCTAATGGTAAATGTAACAGTTTTTTGTTCAACTGGCAAATCCTTTTTTTCCCCCTCATTCATTTTTATCTGACCTACCACAGTGCTTGAAGAATCCTCTTGATTTAGCTTTTCTTGATATCTAGTGCATTGTTATATATGGCCCAAATCTAAACTGACCATTTTCATTAGCTGTATCCTCTTGTATTCTCTAACCTATGCAAAGGGAGATAAGCTTGGCAGTGCTGATGTGATCATAAGCGAAGTTTATACGTAGCAAGAGCAGACTAAAATTTAATTTTGGTCTCTTCCAACACTAGCATCTGCTTTTATACAGTATGCCTATTAGTCTTGACTTTCTACAGCTTTTGCTGAGTTTTGCCTATTACAAACGTAATGCATATCTCTGAATGGAATGGTGTGTTTAAAATGAATAAATCTATCAGCTTCAAGTGCATTCTTACACTGTGGATTTCACTTTTTGGGCGGGGATTGATTTTATGTAGCTTCAGGCAATTTATATTGAAACAAAATATTTTTGATATATGTGGCATAATTGTTGTTTGTCCCATATTTATGGGCAGACTTTAGTCAAACCATTTAGCTTTCTATTGAAGTTGATGGAATTATTTCAGTTACTTTTCTGACAGATGCTTTTTTAAAAGCTATTGGTTATATCTAAGGATTCTAATACTGCTTACTATCCTGCAAAAAAGCAAGACATACATTGTTCTTTTTTTAAATTTGATGCTTTTTTTCTTATAGAAATTGAGTATAAACCTAGTTATTTTTTTCTGCAGTGTTGGCTTCCCACAAGCTATTTCTTTTCTTTCTTTCAAGATTTTTTAAATCTATCCAAGAAAATATGCAGTTTTTAAAAAATTGATCAGGCGTGTGTATTGCTTTCAAATTGTTTCTTCAGTGGTTGATGTGCATTGATGATTGATGTGGTTTTATTAAAAACACTGGGCCATTATAAACCTTGGTAGTATGCAATCTGTACGGTCTTGGGATTGTTCACAGGGGTTGGTAAAGCTCAATATGTTGCCTTTTTCCTATTGCTTGTTTACAGATTTAATTCTAAACTCCTCTCCCCTTTCTCTTCAGCTCTTTGCCATTTTTGCCTTTGGAGCCTGTGGTTCTTTCAGTGCAGAAACAGGGGCTACTGTGAAATGCACCAAGCCTCCCAAGGAGACAACTGCTATTACTGTGCAGTTTGGATATCCTTTCAGGTAAATGAAAAGCTGACAGAGTGCAGATATGGAAGGTATAATGTGAAACTCAACACTGTTGGTAATAGCCTTTAGTAAAGGGGAAATGGTTACTTTATATTTCTTAGAGTTCTTCTTATGAAGATGTCCTTAAATCTTTTTCAGTGACAAGTAATTTTTTAACTAGAATCGCTCAATATCACAGGCTATTTTTCAAACTATTCCTCTAGAGTTGCTTTAAATCTCTTAACTACTGATTTAAAATAAATTGCATTAAGCAGTGGAAGAATTGTAGCATTATTACAGCAACATCCAGACACTGCTTTGCATAATATGACATTCAGAAATCTCACTTAAATATGTTAGCTTGGATGTGCTAAAAAAATTTTTTTGTTCCTTTTGGGTTTGTTTTTTTAATGCCTCCAATTGCTCAGATCACTTTGAGAATTCTTTTAGTTTTCAAAGTGATTCATCATGCAGCATAGAGTATTACTACTCAATGCCTTGATTGCACAGAGCAGATTTTATAAGACTCTGAATCCCTTTTCTTTTTTCCAGTTGTTCAGAGATTTTAAGACTGTTCGTGCAGGAAAATATAATTCATCCAAGAAACTAGTGTATGCATGCCACAAGAGAAACCACTTCTGACCCACTGTGCGGACACAGTGCTATTGGATCTTTGATATTTGAAAAAAAGATTCAATGACTTATATAGTATAAATAAGCTACATGCCATATATTGGAATATTCCCACGTGAGAAAATTCTTGTTACATAACACTTAACAGTGAATTAGAAAATGCATTGACCTGCAGGAAGAGGAGCTACTGTGATTTTCAGAAAACTTTGTAGGTGAAGAGGTTAACCCAAATGTATTATTTTCTGGGCCATTATATCTAGAAGTATACCATCCATTATTTTGTTTGGGGATATATCTGTTCCATTCTGACAGCTGGAAACGAAGCCTCTTTTCTCCCAAGACATCAGAATCTCCAGTAGGAGTTTATTCTCAGTACAGAACTATTAAGACAAGCATTACCACCAGCTTATATCACTGCATCTATTTAAAAAGGGCTCATGTCTGAAATATCTTGGTTAGAGACAACCAAATGAGGTGAGAATTCTGTTTCCAGCTGGGTACCTTGCTTCCAGATTGGCATTATCTCCAAGATTGGCAGGTGGAGGTCCCAGCTGCCTTGCATTTGTATTTCAGCATGTTGATATGAGTAGTTTGATTCCTTTCCGCCACACCCCCGCTGTGGTTTCAAATATATTAAATTGTATTTCAAATGATATGAGGGGGAGAGTTGGATAAAAATAATATCATCTAAAACTTTGAGAGCACCACTTCCCGAGGGCAATTTTCATTGAGGAGTTTAGCAGTTGTCAATTGAATTTATGCACTTTATGCACATGGTTGTACTCTGTGAATTAACATTGGCGGATCATAGTGTAGCAAAATTGTATCATCTGAATTAAATTAAAATAATGATTATGGTACAACATTGCTGAATTGTTGTTTCCCTTTCTTCTTTCCTCTCACTTCCAGATGAGTGTTGCTATAGCAGGTTACTAGCTGTGTAGGAAACTGCTGTGTAGGAAACTGCTGTGTAGCCAGAAATACAATAAAGCATTCTGAAAACTCTGATTTTGCTTTGAGAGGAAAAGGAATATTTTTGCTACAAACTTAAAAGCAGCAGCTGATCTGATACAGCTGTCATTTATTGAGAGTCATATAAACCAGTAAAAAAAAAAACAGCAGTTCTGGTTCTGGTTTGAAGGGCTTCGGCGACAGACAGAAATCCGCGATCGTGTGCGGTTTCTGTCTGGGCTCACCGCTGGAGCGCCCCGAGCCAGCTGGTTTCGGGGCTAAGCCACCCCATAGAGGTGGTGAAGAGGGGAGAGACCGCCAGCAGGGTTGAGGAGAGCCGCATCTCTCCTCATCAGCTGGCCATTACTCCCTTTCTCAAAGGCATTTGTAGCGATGGTCAGAAATGGCCACCACAAAGGAGAACTCAACCGGAAAAGAATGTGCAGGAGGAAGATAAGAAGTGAAAGTTTTGGCTGACCGGGTTAAATTGTAAAAGCAACAACTAATGTACCCTGGAATTTAAACTTACAAAAAATAACATCGCTCCCAAAGAAGAGTCAGAAGCAGTGAAGGAAAATGAAAAGGGAAAGGTTTGGCTTTTTTTTTCTTCTCTCTCCTTCCCTATACTGACAACTAAGAGACTTAAATAAGAAATCGGAAAAATCCACGTTGACATCAATTGGCAATTAAGCTGAAAATAAAACAAAATGCCAAAGGGATAATAAAGATTTCTGGACATTAAAAATTTTCTTTTTCATAAGCAGGAAGGGAGAAAAAAAGAATAAGGGCAGGATCTGGAAGAGGGAGGAGACTGCCTGGAATTAAAAAGAATCTACAGTAAAACTTCAACAAGACTTCTAAAAGATACATTTTAACTGAAACTTTGCAACTAAATAGTAACCCCAGGAAGAGAAAGTGAAAAAAAAAAGAGCAAAAAAGAAACAGCTTGCGTGTATTTGGATTATTTCGTGATCATTGGATTCTTGGTTATTATATTTGAATGACTAAAATCAATCGGGCAGTTGTTTAAAAATTTATACAATGGCACCACTTCTGGATGAATTAAAAATGGAACTTAAAAAGTACAAAGAAGATACACAAGAAGGGAAGGGTTCTTTTGGCTTCATTTTTCAATTCTTAGAAATGGAGATTTGGAACTATGAGAAACAATAAGAAAAGACTGCAAAACAAGAAGACTGGGACAAAGAAGAAGCCATCTTTAATGAACAAGCAATTTTATGTGGGGAAGAAAAAGGAAAGTGGGGGAAAGAGAATGGAAAATTTAAGACTTAAAAAAACAACCAAAGAAAAGAAAAATAATTCGAAAAATAAGTATAATACTGGAAAGCAACAGAAAAGGGGAATACAGAAGAGAGAAACAGAGGTAGAGAGACAAGGGGGTAAAAGGGGGACAGAGAAGAAGAGAGGGAAGAAGGAAAGGAAAAGAAGTTACAAAGGACTGGAGCAAGATATAGAGAAACAGGACCTATTTAGGGATAATGGGTGAAAGTCTAACTGAAAAAAGGATTCTGTAAAGGTACATAAGATTGTATTGTTATGTTAGTAATAGAAATAACTTTAGAAAATTGGAAACAACATATGATTAAAATGAGGGATAAAATAGTGTAATTTAGTGAAATGTTTGTGAATAAAATAAGTGAAATAAAATAAATGAGAAAATTGAATTAGGAAGGAACGGGAACATTTTAATTAGTTAATGTTTTATAAAATATAAGTAAAGGGGGGGAATTAACTATGGAAAGTTTATAATTGTTCCCATAGAAGTATGATATTTAATTGAAAACTAATGTTAAAGATGTTAAGACTTTAATGAATATTAATATTGATAGAATTGAATTGGAATGGAGTGTTTTAATTATATACATTTATAATTTTTTTCTTTTTTTAAGAATACAGTGTGTATTTTAAGAATGTACCAAGCAGAATCCGAATGGAAGTTATGTATTATATTGAATGTTACAACTTTAGGGAAAAGATATAAAGGCGTCATACTCCAATCAGTAACTACAGGGGAAATTTTGTTTAATGAGAAAAGGTAATAGATAATTGAAATAGGACAGACAAAAAATATAAATACAATGATTTGAATTGAGATGAGATAATTAAAATAAAATTGAGAAAATTAAAAGAGGGGAGAAGCTATGCAGAAAATGTAAAATAGTAATAAGATATGGAATAGAACATAAAAATGAGCATGAACCTGAATATGTGTCTGTACGAAGAAATCTAACCCGGGATTACGCTACTTTCAAAAAAGATGTTTTATTTGTATTCTTTTTCCTCTTTGTGAAAACTCAAATAAAATTTACAAAAAAAATATATCAGCAGTTCTTTATCTAAATCTTAGTGATCTAAGATTTGGTGGCCTTGGTGATCAGTGCGATTACTAAAAACAAGAGGCAGCATTGGATTATACATAATATCCTAAATTTCTTTTTGGTATGCCAGATCAGATAGAAGGTTATATTTTTGTGGAGCACAAATCAGCACAACAAAAACTTTCTCCATTACGTGGAGATGCCACCATAAGGCTTTTGGATAAGCAGAAACAAGATCTAAGTTGGAATAAAATCAATGCATGAAAGATCTAACATGGTTATATCTGTGTGCATCTTTCCCTCCCTGACAACATCTGATAGCTATAAATAGAGGCATGTCTGTGAAGTATTTTAAAATGCCTTTGACAAGAAGGGGAACAAATTGGAAGGGTTGTTGTGGGACTGGCAGTGACAGTTCAAAACAAAATATAGTATCTTAATGAATTGTATATGGGTTGAAAAACATTTTAGGTGGAATAGATTCCTCCCTCCCCATCCTTCGAGGCCTTTCTGTCTCTTGAATTCAGAATTATGTTAGGCATGGTTGCCAAGGATATAAACCTCTTCTCTCATAGTTGTATTTTCATTGCAGGAAATTCTGTATATGCACTGTCAATTGTTAAACTAGCATTACAATAAACCCATAAATTATGGTTTGCAACAGGGAAATCTCAAATAAATTCTTTTCCTTTACATTTTTTCCAAGATGCATGTTCAATATGAGTCACACTAAAAAGAATATGGAAATAAAATAAGGCGGTCTGTGATGTGATACATGGCTGTGTTGTAAGCAAGGAGAGCTTGCAAGTACAGAAAGTTATAAAGGTGCACTGAGAAACTAGATTTAGCTGTATTTTTTCCTAACTCATACCTTTATAAAAATATTTTTACACATATGTTTTCATAACATTGCTTAATCCAAAAGGGTTTCTCCGCATATAAATTGAAAATTTTAAAGTATCATCTCTTTAACCCGTTAATTCTGATAAGCTTTTCCAAAGAAGGTTTAGCTACTTTTTAAATTCACATTTATTAAAATTGGTATAGGGTCTGAGAGAATCTGCCAAAGTATTTTATTAGTGTTTGTTATTGGCAAGAAAATTTATCAAGATTTATCATAAAGACATAAATGGATGTACACTAAACAGGACTGGATAGGTCACGAGGCAGTCTCATAAAATCTTGAGCCAAACTGTGCTGTTCAGGTGTTTGTTTCAGACAACTGTTTTTAAAAAATTGCTGCTTGGCACTTTTCATTTTTGTCTCGAAGAAAACTGTTTAAAACCTGCAAAATACATTTTAACGAAGATGGGAATGAGGCAAATATATATGGTATTTCCTCCATACAGTTTTCTAGATGTTAGAGATACCCTGTAGCCTAATTCTTCTGTACTAAGTACTCAAATTACATTTAAGCTATTTCACTTGCTTTCGCTTTCAATTTGACCAGGTTGTATAAAATCCCATTTGATATGCCAGATTGTATCGAAGGATCAACTTCTAAAAGAATGCTGCATCTCATGGGAGACTTTTCTGCACCAGCTGAATTCTTCGTGACCTTGGGGGTTTTTACTTTTCTATATACTATGGCAGCTCTTGCAGTATATCTACGATTTCACTCCCTCTATAAGGAAAATAAGAAGCTACCTTTTGCGGTAAGATCTCAAGTTTGGTTTTCAAGTTCTTTAGATTTCAAGTCCTACATCACAGAACCAATTCTATACAAACACAGTTCATTTAGAGCAGGGGTGTCCAACCTTTCACCTTCCCTGGGCCACATTAGAAGATGAAAATTTGGTTTGGGCCACACATAAAATAAAATAACAGTAACGGTACCTGATCATCCCAAAAAACCATAGAAAACATAGTTAACATATTAAATTTATTTGGAAATGAAGTTAGTGAGATGTTTTTATTATTTATTATTAATTATTTATTAAAAATTATTTTTTATCACGTTTTTTTATCACAGTTTTTTTTATCACAGTTTTTTTTATCACAGTTTATATTCCGGCCAAATTTTGCGGGGGGGGGGGAGAAAGCTCACCCGCCTCACGCCTACCTCTCCTCCTGCAAATGGCCTGGCTGGATGAGGCAGGACTGGAAGGCAGAAGCAGCGACAGCAGCGGCGGGGGCAGAAGCCTTCCCCCGCTACCGCTGCTGCTTCTGCCCCCACCACCGCCCCTGCCCCCGCTGCCCCTCCCGCCGCTTCTGCCCCCACTGCCGCCGCTGCTTCTTCCCCCGCCGCCGCTTCTTCCCCCACCGCCGCCGCTTCTGCCCCCGCCGCCGCTTCTTCCCCCGCCACTGCTTCTGCCGCCGCTTCTTCCCCTGCCGCCGCTTCTTCCCCCGCCACGGGGGCAGTGGCAGCGGGGGCAGAAGCAGCAGCGGTGGCGGGGGAAGAAGCGGCGGCAGCGGGGGCAGAAGCGGCAGCGGTGGCGGGGGAAGAAGTGGCGGCGGGGGCAGAAGCGGCGGCGGTGGCGGGGGAAGAAGTGGCGGGGGCAGAAGCAGCGGCGGGGGCAGAAGCGGCGGCGGGGGCAGCAGCGGTGGCGGGGGAAGAAGCGGTGGCGGGGGAAGAAGCGGCGGCGGTGCCGGCGGCGGCAACAGCAGGAGGTGGCGCTCTGACGACACCCGCCTTTTCTCTTGCTGCTTGCTCGCCTCGCCCCGCCTCGCGTCTGCCTCTCCTCCTCCTCCTCGCTGGCTCTGGCACGAAGGTTGGGGTGGGCACTGGGCCGCATTACGAGGCGACCTGGGCCGCATGCGGCCCGTGGGCCGCGGGTTGGACAAGCCTAATTTAGAGCAAGCTCCATTAAAAAAATGATCATTTCTGAATATGAAACCTGAGAAAAAGGGTACAGTGCTCCACTATGTATGTTTACAGGTAGTCCTTGTTTAACCAGGGTTCGAATGAACATTGGCCTCATTGCAAAACATCACACACACACACATATACATGGTCACATAATTGCAATCTGGTTGATTGGCAACCTGTTCACATTTACCAGAGGTGGTATTCAGCAGGTTCTCACTGGTTCTGGAGAACCGGTAGCGGAAATTTTGAGTAGTTTGGAGATCCAGCAAATACCACCTCTGAGTGGAGATTTTACAGTATCCTTCCCCTGCCACACCCACCAAGCCACGCCCACAGAACACGTAGTAAGAAAATTTGAATACCACCACTGACATTTACGTTCACAGTTGCCAAGTGCTACTCAATAATGTATTCAACATTTGCAATCTTCAATGGGGAAGATAGCAGGAAAAGTTTCAAGCTGCTACCACCTGCTAAAACTCCCTCTCCCTTCTGGGGTTTGTTGAAAGAGCCTGCTTGCATGGAGCTGAAATCCTTCATGCCTGCTTGCGTGGAGCTGAAATCCTTTAGCAGGGAGCTCTTTCACCCAACCCCAAAGACAAGAGGGGAGCCAAAATCCAAGCAGGATTTTCAGCTACTGACTGGAGAGGAAGCACGGTAAGGCAAGGGGTATAGGTGCCTCAGGAAGGTAGGGAAAAGGGCCTAGGAGGCTTGGTGCAGGTTGCATATGAATATCTTTCTGCTCAGAGGCTGAAATTTCAAGTGAAGATACATTTGCGCAGAGCCTACAATGGATCTCCTAGAGTCTTTCCCAGTCCCAAGGTACCCTAGGCTCCTTAACTAGGACTTTATCCACTTAACAACCATAAGATTGCTTAATTGCCACAACTGAGTGTGCCAAAATGGTTGAATGAAGCAGTTGTTTTATTTATTTGTTAAATTATTTGCTGCCTGTCTTGCCATGGGGCTACTCAAGGTGGCTTACAATAATAAAAAGGGAGAAAAGGAATGGGTGCAGACAGAATAAAAGTGAAATAATAGAACAATGAAATAAACCAGGGGTCTCCAACCTTGGCAACTTTAAGCCTGGTGACTTCAACTCCAAGAATTCTGGGAGTTAAGTCAACAGGCTTAAAGTTGCCAAGATTGGAGACCCCTGAAATAAACAATGACAAAGGAAAACAACAAGAATAAAACATTAATCTGATAACCAGAAAGGTGAATGGGAAAACAGAGAGCAAGGTGGAGGGGGATGTGGAGCCTGCCATCAATCCAGCAGTCCCTTCCAGTGTGGAACTCGTTCATTCAGTCCCCAGAGAAAAACCAGGTCTTTAGATCATGGGATGACTTGCTTAAACAACAACTTCACTAAATGTTTGAGATTTCAGTCCCCATTGTGGTTGTTAAGGGAGGACTACTTGCATCCAATTTGGAAGTCCTATCTTCTTTGTTTTGCATTTTTGTTGACCTTGGAGTACTAGCACAAGAAGAATCAATCTATGCAACAGTATTATCATCTGATTCATGTGATGTGGTTAGTTTGGATTTGCTTATCCGTGATTTGTTGAATAAGTCACAGTTGGTTTATAAACCAGTAATGGTTGAGGCAGCAGCAAACAAACTATAATATGACTAGGTGCAGCATGTATACCTTACTATGCAGTGGAGTGATTATTAGCTGACAAACAGTGTGAAATAACAATCATGCCTGATTAAAATAAATGGTCGGCCCCATTTGGCCATGAGTATTTTGGATGAAAGGATGTAGCAGAATAGAGCTACTGTCATGGAGTATATTAACCGTGACTCTTTCTCTCTCTCTTTCCCCCTTCATTCAGGACTTCTGTGTGTCTGTCTCATTTACCTTCTTTTGGCTGGTGGCATTTTCAGCTTGGGGCAAAGGTCTATCAGATGTGAAAGGAGCTACACGGCCTTCCAGCCTTATTGCAGCCATGTCAGTATGTCAATTCAAAAATGCAGTGTGCAATGCTGGGGCCACTCCTTCTATGGGTTTGGCCAACATCTCTGTGGTAAGAGTTGCTTGGAAGTAATATAATGATTGGGAGGGCGAGCATGTAGAGTACAGCTGTACTATAGTACCATTCCATTTCTTTTACTAAATCAAAGCCATTCCGAAAACCAACAGGGCTAGTCTTTTAAGTCTTCTGCAGTAACTCTGAAATTATGTCATGAAAGAGGCTGAGCAAACACATCATTTTTGCAAACAGAAACTTCCGTTTAAGTTTGCTCAACAAGCAGCTGGTAATCAAGAGAAAGGCAAATCATGGTGATTAAAGAAGAACGAAGAACAGCATAAGTATACAAATACAAGAAGTATATCTAAAATATTACAGTTTAAAACATGATTGTTTAACATTTAAAAGGAAATATTGAAAAACAGCAGTGGGTTTAAAATAAAAGTCAGGCAATATAAATTATTTGTAGAACGTTAGCCATCAATACAAACATGCCTAATAAAAACAACAGCAAAAATGTTACTTGGAAGAGGTACATTTCTGAATATATATATATTCCTTGGGAAGGATTTAAAATACACTACTACACACACACACCCCAAAGTAGGAGGAAAAGAGAGGACTTTATCTGCTTATTGTAAGATTCACATAGAAAGATACCAGAGGTGGTATTCAGCAGGTTCTGACCAGTTCTGGAGAACCTGTAGTGGATATTTTGAGTAGTTCAGAGAACCAGCAAATACCACCTCTGACTGGAGATTTTACAGTATCCTTCCACTGCCATGCCCACCAAGCCACGGCCACAGAACTGGTAGTAAAAAAAAATTGAATCCCACCACTGAAAGATACCCTGACTCCAAACTGGGTGGGGTTTATGTTCTACTGAATACAATCATTATTATTGAAATTCACATATAAGGAATATTAGCCCTTCCTCTCATTTCATTATTTTCTGCTTAGGTTACAGTATTACTGATTTGATTGTTCAGTGGATAAAGAACAGACAAATAGAATATCCAGTCAAGGCAGCATAATTTCATAACGGACAGACCGATTTCAAAATTATGTTCGTCTGTGACTTTGGATCTCACAAAAATAAGTATGAGAAAGTATTTCTACTGTGCATGAACATGTGTAAAACAGTGGAAGATGGTTGTTTTTCTGTTCTTTAATTATTGTGAAAATCTGAACAAGGGGGCATTAAAAAGTACTGAACTGACTTTATATAAGTGCTCAGCCTTCACCAATAACTGCTTTGTATTAACTATACACCTCTCATTTTCTTCCTCAGCTGTTTGGTTTTGTCAACTTTATACTTTGGGCTGGAAATTGCTGGTTTGTTTTTAAAGAAACCCCTTGGCATGCACAGACCAGCAACAAGGAAAGTTCTGCTGAACAAGGGGCTGTTGATAAGCAATAAGGAAACCCCACCCCCCCACTGAAGCCGCCTTCTCCTCACCTTCCCCAAATCAAGAACATGCAGTCCCTTTGCTCGTCCCATGCAGGAAATATGTCTTCTCTGCCATTTTTGCTACGGTTTAGCAGTCATATTGGCTTCCCTTTGTGACTGAAATGGGAGGCCTTTCTCCAGCTGCAATCATTGGTCTTCTTGTGGTTGTAGATACACAGACTGTCCATAGTTACAACAAAGCTCTTCTTTATTTGGATATTTTATAAGCATATGCTACTGTACATTTTCACATTAGTCACCTATCTCAGGATGTATGGCAATATGTCTTTACCGATGACTTTTATCATTTTTTAAAAATGAAGCCAGTAGAGTTGAATAAGAACCTAGAGAAAACCAAATAATTAAAACCACAAAACTTGGGACATCTAAGTGCCTTAGACAGAAAATAGTCTACTTTGTAGCTATAATAGATGTAGAAATAGTAACATGCCACTTGGCTGAGCAGCAAAATAAAATAAAAAAAAGTTTTTTTTACCTTTAATACATTTAAAGGCAGGAAGCAGGGTGTTACATTTCTCATTTTGTATTACAGAGTATACATATTCTAAACATATTTTTGCTTCAAATAAGTACAATTGATTGCAACTTAAGATACTGTTTGCACACAGGTGTCTTTATCAGCCTTGCATGGCTAATATGGAAAAGGTTTTTTTTTTTAAAAAAAAACCAAATTGAAATAAGAGAAAGTCCTCATTGATCATTTTGAGCCACAAAGTGTAATCCTTGCCAATGTGAGCTGGTTTTGCTAACCCTAGATTGCACACAAATGTTGACCATCCAGAAGTAGCTTTAGTGGAATACTTCTAGCATTCTAGAATTTGATATCTGTTTCAAAATCTCCTTGAAATTTTTATTTTAAAATATTTCACAATATGAACTTCTTTGAATATGCAGACCAATTCACCTGAATTTAAGACAGCCCAAAAGTTGGCTGAGAAACATGCACAGATTGGATTGTTTTATATAACTTACGATATTGTTCAGAATCTTTGTGTCTAGTAACTTAGCAATGGCCTTTAAATCCTCTGTAATGGAAATAGTTAATTCTTCATTTTTTGAATTGATTATCAGTTGCTAATGTATACTTGTTCATGTATCTCGAATTTAACTCCCATTTGGCTGCAATTAGCAACATCATTTGATGGTGACATGAGCCACCCTAATCACCCAGGTTGCTATGGGAATTCTTAAGGAAGCTTTTAGCAACTCTGGGTGTCTCTTAGGTAGAGGACAAGACTGCCAGAAATTAAGTGTAGTATAATAAATCTAGCTTTTCCTTTCCTCCATCTTTTTAATTAGAAACAACTTGCTCTTGAGAATATCAGCTATTCTCAAGCTATTTCCACCCCTCAATCCTTAAATCTCTGTTTCAAATAGACCTAAACTTAAATGGGGGGAGTGGATAGCTTTTAGGAAGGTGAGGGATGCCAGAGAATGGAAGGATGGTTATTTTCTCTATTGAATTCAATCTATTACATCAGACCTTGTTTGGTCTTGGACTTTCTCTTATTTCCACATCTTCTTTTATCAGCAAAGGGAGAAGAAATCTTAATATTACTAATACTGGTGCTTTGTTAGGTATGGGACCTTCATATTAAGCAGGTGTCCTTTGTATTTTTTGTAAACTTCCTTTTCTTCCTGAATTTTTATTACTGGTACTTCTTTACCACAGTGATAGTTTTTAGGAAATCCTGTGGCATTTTGGCATTGAAACTATGTAGTCTCCTACTGGTCCTGCAGTGTCCTTTTTTTTTTTTGAAGAAGAAAAAGGTTACTATAAACCAAAAAGAAAACTGTTTGACTAGATTAGAATAGCTTTCTCTGGTAGTCCATCATGTGTGCAACAAATTAGTCCATACCTAGCTTTTAGCTAATAGTGTGTTTTTAGATAATCATTCATTTCAAGGAGTTCTATTTTTTTTCTGAAACACTGAACCTACAAGTGTAGTTAGATATGTGTGTCTTTCATCTTGTTTATATCTTTGATTCATTCTTCTGAATCTTACAGATTACTTGCTACCTTTGCAAAGATTTGTCCAAGATCCTCAATTAATAAAAATTAATGTCACAGTACTAAGTGTTATTGTTTGCTACCAATTGAAGATCTGACATTTGTGCAAATATTGAATAATATTTTGTAAATTGTTGCTGTAAACAGAAACAAGTATCTGGTGCATGCTGTCCCCTTGGCAGTAAACATTCTTTAAAAAGTATACGATAGTTGCATGCCATTGGTCATGCAAATTCTGCAAGCCACTTCCTGACTTAAAATATGCTTGCTTCTGTATTTGAAATAAATACAGTTGTGTTACATTTGCCATTTCTTCTATAGCCAACATAGAAGAGAGCTGTATAACAGCTGACCAGGCAGCAGGTGCAGATAAACACTGAATCCAAAGCCATCCTAGATGACTGACTCACTGTCCTGAGGCTGTATCTTGGGCATGACATATGCTAGAAAGAATGGAGGGCCACTGCTTTTGCTGCCTTTGGGTTTTTGAAAATTGAAGCATAGCATTTCTTATAAATTCAGTGTAGCAAATGGTGATTAATGATGTGTAACTAAGATGCTCATGTTGTCTATCTTCTCTGTCCTGGGAAAATAAACATTTCTATTGAAAGTGGAGCAACCAATAGGTCATTACTGAATTCTGGGCATCTATTCTTACCAATTCTGCTTACTTTTTCAGGCATTTTACTCTTCTAGTGACAGGATATTGCATATTTTTACTCTCCTAGTGATTGTTAGTATTGTTCTAATAAAATATTTGGAGAGTTCACTTTGAAGGACTATAGCCTTTATGTACACTTATAGTTTTGCTTTGATCAATGTCCTATCTAGTTCCTAAGTATAATTGCCTTAATGACAATGTTACTGAACTGTCTATTTTCCAGAGATTGACTGTTTTAGAACTTTTGTATTTGGTGTAGCGTATGACAAGTTTTACATATATTCACATACACAAACTTGTCAGTACATGGTGTCTTCTAACTTTTGAACATATAATATATGATGGACAAACAACAAAAAATGGTTTTGTCAAAAATTTGCAAGTGATTTTGTAGCCAGACTATTGCTTATGTTATATATTTTCTTTGTTATGTTGTGGTTACAAAGTAGAAAGGATGAAAAAGATTCCCAATGTGATCTGAATTCGCTGTGTGCATTTAGTGTGATTGGTTGAGATGCCTAACTGAATAGTAATTATTCTATGTAGAATGCATGCATGCACCATAAATAGACAAATACCTGTAAAGCATATAGTCGAAATTTTGGCATAATGCCAAAATATTCAAGAGTACTTTTTAGGTTGCTCAGTCTCTGACCATCAATCTTCTAAATAATTTGTTTCATTTTTACCTATTTTAAATAGAACAATGTATTTCTAATGTGCAACTAAAAATATACCCTTTTTATGGCAACCGAGTCAAAAAATTGCTGCCTTCTAAGTGATAATCTTTAAAATATTAGAAGAGTGCCATCAAATTTTTGTTGTATTTTTCTCTCCAAATTAAGCATATTTCACCATGTCCAGAACATTTGAGGAATTTAAAACATGGATGTTTGTTTTATTTGAAAAACAGAACTATTTATTCCAACATAGATGGATAAAAATGACAAATCTAGTCTAAATATCTGACTGACCTGTGGCAGGTATAATAATAATAAACCACTGATTGAATAGGCTAGCAGTTGATTGCAGTCTGTCCTTTTGTCTCTAGTTTATAATGAAGCCTTTTCTTGCTCTCTTCTTTACCACTACTCACTGTATTAATCTAATCTAAAGCATATATAAGGCATTGAAAAAGGAACAGTATTGAGATATATGTGGGAGGCGATTCCATTCTGATGTTAAATGTTTTGTGAGGAAATAGAGAGAAAGAGAAGGCCATCCATGGAATTTCATGAGTGTTGGGGGATTTGAACTTTCATTCTGCAAGATACCTCAATGATTTGTAACAAAATAAAATAACATAAAATATTGGAAAGCAAAAAAGTGTATTGATTTTTTTAAAACATAGACATAAATCCCTTTTTACCTTGTTGAAAACAGTATGGAAAAGGGGGGATAGGAATGTGGAGAGTTGGAGATTAATAACCCCAAACATATTCAGGTAAGTGAAGAAAAGTTCTATTTTGCATTTTTTTAAACAACTTTTATTTATTTTAAATTGAAATATGCATAGATGCTGTTGAAGATGCCACTTTCCATTATTTGTAACAAAGCATGTCATGCATATGGTCAGACTGGCTACCATATGATGCGTTATCTACTTCCTGCTATTTTCATGGAAGCCTGAAAAACTTCCCCACCCAGACTGATTCTGATTTGGTGAAGTCAAGATGTCAGGGGAAACAACTGTTGGATTAACTGAGGACACAAAAGCCACTGCTGGCATTGTGATGAGACAGGTGTTCTGATACTTACCGTATTAAGTCAGTTCTAGTCCCATTTAAGAGCCAAGACTAAGACTGCATTGACGTCACAGTCCACTCAGTTGCATTCATAATTGAACTGGATCTTAAGTTTGGTCTCCCTGATCAAATGTCCATATTCAGTTTGGTAAACTATATTGCTTCAGAATAACTCACACAAAAAACAACTGGTCAGCTAACTGAATCAGCTAATCATTATGAAGTGAAGATCTCTATGCATGCTGTAACGGCATGCTATAAAGCCTACCAAATTAATGGGGAAAAAATCCACTGTCATTCCAAGTTCTCCACAATAGCAACTCTTGTCTTTCAAATCAACTTGGTCCAGTTATCAATAAGAATTGCCCAATGCATTTGGGTTTTTGCTTTTTATCATTGCATACTAATGAAAAATAACTATGTTGATAAAATTAAGAAGTGCTCTCTTTAGTAAAAGAAAAATTTAGAAATACACAGAACATATCAGATACAATACGACCATGTAATCTATATTAATAATAACTCAAAGCACATTAT